ACCGGTAGAGGCAGCTGTGGTGGAGCTGCAGAAGCAGAAGGAACATTTGGCAGGGGCAGCATTGGCAGTTCTTCAGGGTTGTCCTGAAGCATTGGCCTTGGTCTGTCTTTTTTCATCTTTAATGTCGGGACCATGAGGATCTTATATTGTCCCTGTCCATACGTGTAGATCCGGACCCACGGAGGCAAGGTTTGGGCAATTGTTAGCCAAGAATCAATATATGGGAATTGGTCGCGGTACCCTGGGGGTGTGGTGATTATCCAGTGTATGGCCCCTACAGCTGACAGGTCTAGTGTACCTTCCGGGGGCCATCCCACTCCAAAGGTGAGCCACTCTGACTCGCAGAACGTGCGCAATTTTTGTGGTGTCAATTTAATTCCATAGTTTCCTGAGAAACACTTTTTGAAAACTTTAATCATGCAGTCCACAACTGTTGACTTTGATTTTGAGGATCCCGTTACTATTAGTTGATAGATTTTATGGTCTATAGGTGTGCGTTGGGTCTGCTTCTGGCATTAAGGACTGTGACCCCAGAGTCTTTGTCCCACTCCTCAAAACAGTGGAGTTCTCAAAAAGCTGGCTGCCTCATTGGGCCTAATATCTATCTGCTTGGCTGCAAGTGCTGCCAATGATTTGGGGTTTCCACATTAGGCAAGTAATCCTGAGATTCCCTCAGGCCTGGATGAGCTTTAGGGATCCCTGTATAAATTCTTTTTATAGCCTGAATTGACAAAATCTGAGGCCGGGATGGCTGGCTGGTGGCAGAATAAATGAACCAAAATAAGGGGGGGGGGCTCAAAAGAGATTCCAGCCAGTCCTGAGTTGGCTCCCTCTGGCTCAGGTCTTGTGGTCTTAATTTTAGACAGAGAAGTATATTGAGGCTGATTAATCATGACAGGATATTCTGGGGGACTGGTGACAAGGCTGAGTCAACCTCTTTAACGTAGTCTCATCTTAGTCCCTAAGGGCACAGAGGTCATTTACTCATAGGCTGTTCTATGTCCCTTTCCCTCCCTGTAATAGCCACCCTGTGCTGGTGTCGCAAACGAGACAAAGGAAGGGTTTTTGCTGCATCTGCCTGGCCACTCCCCTTGTGGGGATGAAGGTGCCTCTTAGGTTTGGCAGATCAGTATAAACCGCTGACTCTGATCGATAACCCGAGGGGCTAATACCGCCATGAGCCATATGAGGTCACCATGGAATCGCAAGTTGGGACTCACTCAAACTCCATAGCAGAATGCCGTGGAGCAACAAAAGAACCTGATCACATACTTTTCAGGCAGCACACACACACACACACACACACACACAGAGATAATTTGCATATTCCCTCGCTATCACCAGGGCGTCCCTTATCTAACCTAATCTAACCAGCTCTCCCCATTGGACTACCGTCGGGCAGGGAGCATAACCAGGTCTCCCCACCCAGGCAGGGAGCATAACCAGATCTCCCCATCTAGACTATTGTCAGGCGGGGAGCCTGTAGGAGGTAATCAGTCTCCTCTTCTGTCCACTTGGACAGAACCTGATTACCCTAACCTAACTATGGACTCTTCCCGGGGCTCCTACCTTGTTCGGCTGTGTTGCCTCATGAGTTGGTCCATTCCTCCACTGAGTCTGGTTGGGGCACAGCTGTCTGGAGGACTGAATCACCTCCGCAAAGAAGGACCCGGAATACTGTCGGGTAGTGCACCTCCTCATTCGCTTTCAGAACTCCCGATCTCCAGGCAGTTGCTACACTGTCCCAGAGGCTCAAGGGGCCGGCGTGGTTGGAATCTCGCTGAGGCCTCCAGAAATGTTGCGTAAAAATGTGTTACAGCTCGATATTACAGCCCAGTATTACGACAACCTGGATCCAGGCGAGAGACCAAGCAGCACTCAGAGAGTTGGAGAACTCAGGTTTATTACACCAGCAGGCCCAGAGGAGTTAACACTCCAAGCTCTGGACCCCGTCTATAGGTTTACACAGGCCTTTTATAGGCTGCCAGTTTTACACTTTGCAGCACCATATGCAAATTAAGTACAACAGAAGTTGACCAACCAGGAACAAGCTTTGTAGAAATAGACCAATCAGGAGTGAGCTCCATGCAAATGAATTACTACAAATGGATCAATCAGAAGT